GTGAACTCTGTTTTTTTTTTTTTTGGCGTTGCATTAATCATGCTTGCCTCTCGTACTTGTAAACTACTTGAGCAAGTCGTGCACACTTAAGCCATCACTATCATGATGACAATAACATGACTCTCAAGCACCAATGTGGTTTTTACGAGGGACACCCAACTTGCCAGATTTAGTAGTGATATACATGTAGTAATTGGCAGCTGTTAAGTTCACATAGCATTTCTAGATTTTTGAAAGGCATTCGAAGATATGTGCAGCTGCCATTGGTCTGCATTTCGCTCCTCAATTCGGGTCTTCCGGCGATCTGATTCGTTATTACGAGGAGGTGTCATGGAAGAATCGAATGTACAGCTTTGATTCCGTAAAGAAATGCGTGCTACAGAATACTCCAGCTGCATTCTTCAAATTTCTCTTAAAGGTTCCTGCATTTACTAATCATGCGGAAGAAGAAAACAACTTTTTAAATGATGCACTGTGTGTCCGTATAATATACGGAACTTCCAAAAGAAAGATTGCCGTTAATTTAGAACATCGCTTATTATTTGTACAGCTGTGCAAGGCTTCAGCCCAAAAACTGTGGGCAAGACAAACTACTGCTCTGAAAACTGTGATTAAAATTATGATACTCAAGTGCTCCACAAAAATTTTGCTCACAGAGTGAACCACTTCTGATAGTAGTGCGTGTTTTAATGATACTTGTGAAGAGTTTTGTAGCCTGAAAAGAGGTGTGTGTGCTTGCTGGCCTAGTTGTATATAGTCATTACTTGGACTACTTTGAAAGTTCATCGCAGTATTTTACATTGGAATTTTCGTGTTTGTTAGATTGGGTTCACATACATGATAGAGCATGCTCTTGTGTGTGAAATATTTTGACGAAAGCCACTTCAGGAATGAAACTCGTTATTCGTTATGAATCTACACATTCAATTCATTCTGAACTGCAAGCGTGAAATGAAACTAAGTTTTCGGTAGAATGAGTTGGCACTTGAACAAGTTAAAACACATGGCTTTCTTTCTGCCAGTTAGTAGTGCAGGTCTGGCAAACAGTGTGCAGCACAGTCATGAACGTGGTTTGACAATGTAACTGCTGTTTTAATGTAGCAAGAAAAGAAAATATAGCACAATGGAATAAACAGCCCACTGATTAAAACTAATAACGAAGGCATGTTTAGGGAATTGATTCGTATTCTATGGATACAGCTTCCTTTCTTTTTTAAGAAGCAAAATGTGATTTCCTGTCCCGAACAGATCCAGATGTTTGACAGCGACCTGGATGACTTTGTGGACCTGGCACCTGAAGACGACATTCCAAACAAAGCAAAGCTGCGTGTCGTCTCAAGGAGCACTTCAATTCTGTGCAACGCAGCAGCGGTTGCTGCCGGTCAGAACGTTGTTCCCAGTCATAATGTTGCTCCCAGTTGTTCTCAAGGCTCGTGAGTGTTGTTCAATATTGGTGCTTCAAAAATCTCATTCAGTCACAGTGTCGACATCATTATCACCATCTCTGTGCATATGATGTAAGCACCAGTGTCTTACTTTCAACCAAAGACATTGCAATACACTTGTGTAGTGAATGAAATTTAAAATAGCTTTCTGTTGGATCTGTGCACTAGCACATTTGACAAAAGGTTGGATTGGATGTGATGTTTTGTATGACTGCTGATAATCATTATACTTTTTACCATGAGAATACCCCTAAATCAGGGATAGCCACCATACCCAGTCACTGATTCATAGACGAATATTTTTGTTCATTTTATGTCGCAACAAATCATCATAAAAGATCAGTATGAGTTTTTTTTTTTCATTTTTTTTTTTTCATAATTGTAAAGCTAGCTTTTCTGCGATACACCGAGCCCTACTCATTGCAGCTAGTCATTGTGAACAGCGAGTTCGAATCCAATTTGTTTGCTTGCGATGTGTCTTGGAAGATGAACCCTAAACACTCTTGATATAAGCACACCTAACAAACAAGCTCTAGCACCTGCAACTAGGATGTCTCAATTTGAAACGTGAATGGCACCACCATAAGGTGGGCAAATGTGCAGTGCAAGGAAGCACTCTTACAGATTATAAAAACGGTCTATTATGAAGACTGCCTTTACAAGGCGGAAATTTGTAACTTGCGGGATTAGTTTGTTCATTTGAATGTGTCTACATTGTGTACAGACGTGGAGGCTGCAATTTAAAACTGCGGAGATCGCAGACTCTCCAAACTGTCTGCATTGTCACACTGTATCTCTCCGAGCACATGCAAACAAAATTGCAAATGGAGAGTTAGATCCCCGGGTACTTTCTCACAAGGGGCGGTGGGGTGCAAGGGGGCTAGAGCCCCTCTCCCGATTCTCGCCCCTCCCCCAAGAGAAAACATAGTCAAAACATTGGGCGTAAGTTATGTGCCTCCCTGACCCCTTGAAGGAACACAGTTATTGTCGGTACCCCTGGTTCTCACCATCCACAGTTTGCTAATGGTGTTTAGTTGTGAAATTCGGTGAAGTCAATGGAAACGTTGCTTATTCGGCTCTGCATAGCTTTCTTGGGATGTAATACTAAGTGCCTTGGAATTATTGCTATGTGAACTTGACTAATTCGTAGACAGTTCATCATAGTTCTGAAAAGGATAATTGGCAGGGCTTAGACGAATCCATTTGTTTCACACTAGCTCCGTCATAGTGATGGGTTGTGCACTAATCACATTTTTTCTTGTAAGTCATATGTCTTCAATTATTGTATCTGTAACCACTGGTATTTGTGGTGGCAAAGCAACGTGGAAGAGCCCATGCAGATGTGATTGCCTGTTTCAATCTGAACTCGTGCAGGCTACTTGCCCACTCTGCTGCACCAATAAACAGTGAAATTGGCTCACTTTGTGACATCTCATGCTGAGCACAAAGTATGGGACATGCTTTAACGTGTCCTCGTTATTGAAATCAGCTCTTTGACCAGTCATGCCTGCAAAGCCTTGTCACCCAAAATTTGAGAGTGAATCATAGAAATATTGCAAGATGGTAACAAGTGTGTTGCTATAGAACCATGAGGATGTTAATGTATGAAGCTAGCATAAGCGTCAGTTTAAATCTTATTGGCCATGCAGCACATGACGGCATCATAAATTAGATGTAGAAGGCCGATTTTTTTGTTCTGATGCTGTCGTGTACTCACTCTACTTGCCGAACACATGCATGCAAATGCTATATGGACACTGAGCAAAAGATGTGAAATACTTCACAAAAGTTACTCGCTCTTTTTATGGATCGAACAGTAATGTGGCCCTTACAGTGCTGTAACTAAGGTGTGAGGTATATTGTAGTATGTTATATGTGGGGTTTAGTGGCATAAAACTGATGTAGACATGTTTTGCTAGGCACAGTACGCATTCCCCTTTGTGCTGCGAAACTGTCGGAAGAATATGTCGTGCATGTGCTCCTCCAAGTGAAACAAGTAAACATCTTGCTAGGTACTGACATTATACAGTGGCCACGGTAAACACTTGTCTCGTTTCGTGTGCCTTGAAAGCGTAACACTCCTAATCACACCGTGTTTCTGGCATATTTCTGGTACTATGCTGAGCAGTGTTATTACACGCTTGCCCTTTGGGAAAAACTGCCCATTCCTATATTGAGGTGTTTAATATATAAATGAATGCCGTCACTGTAATAGAGTTTACAAATTTTCAACGTGTGAGCTGTAAGCGTTTTACTATGTTGATTGCTTGCCCTTAAGTAGATTAATGTGTGTTCGGCCAGATCACTGTCACTCATGTTAGTTGTAGCAATCATGTTAAGTTTTATGCTCCATTGCCCAGTCAATTGGCTTTTTGGTTAGTCTACCTGGCATGTTTCATTGCAAATCATGTGTCGAAACGCATTCTTTCTGTACTGATCTATATCCTACATGTTGTGCCTTATCAAACACAAGGGCTGTGGCATTTCACTAATGTAACCTCTAAATCTTCAGAGGCTCTGTGAAAGCCTGTATCCAGGGATTCTTGTTTGTTGTTAACTATTAGTGAGATAAAATTATGCAGCGGGGCTGTTAAGGTACTCATGCAGTGCACTTGAATATCAGATGCAATGTGTAAAAACTGCTGTTTACATTGTAGGACAGGGCTCTTGTTTCTAGACCAGAAAATTAATTTTTGATATTTGCAGTTGTGCTATTCAGCCTGCTTCGATCCACGAACAAGGGGAAGTTTTGTTGCAAGCATGTGAAGCAGGAATTCAAGAAGATGGCAGCGATGCAATGGAGACATCTCAAGCTTTGCTGTGAGCTGACAATACATTAAAACTTTAGCTCTTTTTCTACAGTTTCAAGTGGGTCTGCTGTAAGGCATAGTGTACGTTGTATATGTAGCAGAGCATTTGCATGTGCAGTCATACTGCTCGCCCTTATCTTTCGTTATTATTATTGCAATATTGGATATAGAAATTGGTCGAATTCTTGAAAAATATGTATTTTTCAAGTTCTGAACATCATTTTGGCAAAAATGGTGCACTATGTGTATGTAGCAGCTCAGTACAACATACAACTGCACTGATAAAAACTATTCCTCTGCCTGGTTACCATGTTAAAGCCAGGCATAAATTTGCATTGTGTTGCTTGCCTTTCCAAGCAACCACGGGCTTGTTCAATCATATTTTTGATGCATGTGCCCTAGGAATAAAGGTTGCGCGAAGACTGAGATTACACAAGCTATCAATTGGGTTGAATATCCTGGCAGCAAATTCTTTTCACTATGCCTTTTTGAAAGGTTGAAATGTGTTGTCTTACGAAGTGCACAGACAGTGTGTCCGTTATCCAAGAACATCTTTCAGCTCAAGGGCTCACTGCCTTCGAATATTGTCAAGTTCTGTACGTGTGCCCTTATAGTGGGTCATTGACTCATGGTCCCATTGCGTTATGCAGGATCGTGACTCGAATTGAGGATGCACCGTGTGCAGTTCTGTCTTATAGACAAATGAGCGGCAGTGACGAGATGCAAATTGAGGACACTGCCATCAGCCACACGTCGATGCACGACAATGACGATTATCTCAAGTTTCAGCTGCCTCCATCCTTCGGCATCTGGTGCGACACTTTCTTGCGGAGCAAGCAGCCAGTCACTGCGAAGGTCAAAACGCACATCATTTCTCATCTCTTCAAGGCTTGCTACAAGATGACTCCGTAAGTGAATTAGTCTTGCACGTTTCTCCGTAATGTCTGGAAAAAAAACACCTTTTGACTATGGCATAAGTATTTTTGCATTGCATGTAACGTTCCTTGATTAGGTTCAACAAGAGAAATTAAAGTGGTCAATCGATCAAGTAGTGTGTGCTCAACAGGATTATTGCCGTCGTGTGTTGGACAGAGGTCTATGAATTCTTTTTTTGCAGATGTCCAACACCAAGGCTGTACAACAAAGTACTTGACTCGCTCGTGGCAAAGTACCCACATGTGATGGAAGGAAAGTACAACAGGGTAAGGTGATATCCTTAAGCAGTGTTAGATAGCACGACACTGCAACATCCTGGTACATTCGAAAACGGCAATTTTTCGCCCATGTCACCAAATTTTGTGAATTGCTGAAAACGACATCAAATGGCCAGTCTTATCTGAAGGTTGGGTCTATTGTGAAGCACCAATGTTTTTTCGCTTGCTTCTCGCTTTGGCAGCGCCGCTGGTTGATCGCCCTGAGGAGCAGGTTCAAAAGCGAACGCGAGAACCTCACGGGGGCTTCAGCTCCTGCAGTCGAAGCACAGGAAACGTCTGGACTCGACCTTTCACAACCTGATGCTGACTATGCATGCACCTACACTCACACACAGCATGCGGTGAGTACACAGAGCAGCAAAGTTACCAGCAAAAATTAATAGTTTTGCCACTAGTTACATGAAGCAGAAAAGTAACCTTGTCAAAGTTACGTAAGCTATCAGTTTTTCAATTTTAACGAATTAACTTGTTACGGTCTCCATTGGTAAACAGATTCCTTCTTTGTTACTTGAAGAACAATAATTAAAGGGTTTTAAATGTAAAGTGGATATTATGTTTAGATTCATGCCAGAAACATTATCCTTTTTGAAATCAGTTATACATATCAGTGTTTTGTTATTTTGAACACACTCATACACCGTAACAAAATTGACGGGTCGAACAATATTCATTTGACGGAATTTCATCACAGTAAAATTTTATCTACTGATCACAAAATGAGGTCAGATGTGATGAGTATGACCTGTCCTTTGGTTCGAGCAAGCGCACGTTTTGAACTCTCACTAACCGAGACGTACCTGGCTGCACACCGAGTGAACGTGTTTTCTCGCATAACATAACACAAAAAATAAGAACTATACTCAATGTGCAGGTTATACACGAATTTCGTTGCACCAGTTGCCTTGACAGCACACCTTCCCAGTATTGCAAAAAAAAGAAAGGTGGCCTTGCAGTAATAAACGGGTATCTTTCTTCCATGGTTTGTAGTTGAAAATACCAGTTATATTCAGACTGTCTTCAGAGCGTGCTGAGCATGAGCACCGTGAAGGAGCGTGCCAAAGCTTTGCTAGAGGCCAGCTGAAAACTTGGTGCTGAAGCTCCAGTGCTGTAAACAACAGGAAGGCCGTAATACTTTGTGCCGTTTTACGGGTTTATTGCATAAAATTTTAGCTGCTTACCTTCGGACAATAGCGAGTACGGTTTCCACAGTGCTTGTGGGGAACAGTAGCTCCGCTTTCAATTTGTGTTTACTGGCCGTGCACGTGCCTTAAAAACTGCGCCGGTGCTGTCGCCGGGTCTACTGCAGCATTGTCCGCAATGTTGCAATAAGCAGCATTAATTTGACTCACTGGGCATTATACATACGGATGAGGTTAAAGCTTGGACGAGTTGGTTCCCATACATAGTTAAATAACTCAGCGCAAAATGACAGGAAAGAAAAGCAGGAGACAGAACCGAGTGCTGACCAAAACTTCTGGGGGCAGCGACTCCTTCCCGAGAGAAAAAGACTGGGGGTGTGTGCTCGGCACCAGTAGTAGGATTTTACTATGTGTGCGAACAAACCCGCCCAAGCTTTAACTTCAGAAAGCTTAATTTTTAGTAGAGAGGGCCCTTTTAGTTGTTTCCTTCATCCTTATCACCTTCTCTGAGTCACCCTGATCTTCATCACCGTCTCTGTGTGCCGAGCAAGCACCCAGTCTTTTTATCTCCGGAAGAAGTGGCTGCCCCTAGAAGTTTTGCTCAGTGTCCTGTTCTGTCTCTTTCTTTTTTTTCTGTTTTCTGTCTTTTTCGCACTGAGTTATTTCATTATCTACAGATACATTGATGGTCCCCCATGGTTGCGTTGACATGATCGCATTTGTGTTTGTGATCGCATTTGTGTTCTGCTAAAAAAATGGCGCCTTAAAAATTGATTGTCGGTCCCTTTAAGTTGTGCCTGACTAAAGTTACTCTTGAAGACTGGCACAAAATCACAAGTGTAAAGTGGTAGACTTCTCTTACCAGTTTACACCTGCAGGCTTCATCGGTATGTACTATATTACATTTATGTGATTTTTTTTTTTTTTGCTTTTCACTGCTTGCGAGCCAGAAGACACAATTGAGTTCATCGGCCTATTCGCCTGGTTGCGAGGACAAGTCAGTTCACGAGGAACATCTCGGCGAGTTCACAAATTCATCTGGTCATGGTGCTGAGACCTATGTAGCCGGCCATTCAGACACCTTGCCCTTGGATTCCATGTGTCGTGTGTCAGACCCAGTGGAATGTCTGGAATCTGAGGAGGATGAGGAATCGATGGATTGTCCAAACCATTCCGACGGCTTGCTGGAGGACGAGACCGTGTCCAGCCTGCTTCGAAGCTGCTCTGACGAAAAAGCGTCAGAGGCACTGATGGCACAGCAAGAGAAGTCAGGCTTCTCTGGATGAAAGTGAAAGCTGTGATGAACCAACAGAGGATATCGGGTACTGTTAAAAAAATTCTTATTGTCACGTGACAATAGCATAGTTACTCTAACTACAGTCAGGTAAAGCTTTAGAAGGCAGCGGTATTTTCACGTGCACCAAAAAGTGCTCATTCTAAACTCATGTGCTTAGACAGATGGTTGGCGACTCTGGTTCAAAAACACCATCGAGGACTGGACCCAGACAATTTCTTTAGCTGCAGAGAAAATTACGTGCTGCACTTTGGTCGTATCTGCAGGACCTCTTTTGCCTTACAAAGTTTTATTCAACTATGGTTACATTGGCATAATCTCATTAATGGGACTGGTTTTCAGTCATTACCTTCAGGTGCTTCAGTCAAACCCAGATGTGTCAAACTTGGAATGCATCGCAAAACAGTTCTGTACAGGGGTAATACGATATATCAGATATCTTATGCTGGCAGAAATCGGTAGTTCGACGAAAACTCGTCTGTTCAGGAACAGACAAGAAGACGATTAAAACAACACACTGACCACCACTATAAGCAAATAAAGGCACGACGTTTCGGCTCCCCGTCCGGGAGGCTTGTTCACAAATGAAAAATGATTGGATCAGCGGTCCGGTACAGGGGCCGGAACGTTCTGCTTTCATTTGAGTTTATTCGTGGTCAGTGTGTGGCTTTCAATTGCCTTCATATCTTATGTTGCATTTACTCGCATATAAATGCACTCGCATAATAAACACATGCCCAAGTTTAGTAGTCAGAATTTAGATCTTTCTTTTTTATCCTGCACAGGGGGGTAAACACACACTCCACTTTTATCCGCCGCAGTCTCGCGAACTGGTATACGGTGCCTTTTTGTAGTAGCGTTGTTCTCCTTTTTTTTTTTTTCTATTGTGCCGACACCCCCCGGATCGACTCCCCTCCTTGCTCTCGCATGTGATACTTTGTATTCGTGTGCTGCACGGCCCTCTCTTATGGCAAGATCATTGCTGCAGCTCAGTTGGTAGTGCATTGAATGTGTGTCGAAGGGGCAGATTCAACCTCAGCCAGCATCAAGTTATCTTTTTGTCCACTTTACTTTCTTCAAATTTTCATTGCAATTAGTGCAAATAACATACCTCTGCTCTCCCTGGCATTACTGTCTGTTAGTCCTCGTAAATTAACTAGCAAGCCATCTTATGACCACAGGCACCAGCAGAAGTTTCAGTTTATTGCCTTGTGTTGGTTTGAGGTAGTGCAGAAACTTTATTATATTAGAATCTCTAATAAGCATGCCTCATTAGACTGATAAAAAATGGTGTTTCCTGGATGTCAAGTTCTGGAAAGTCAACTAGTTCACCGTATCGAGAATTCCGTGGCATTGAAGTTTATTATATAGAGCTTTCACTGAGTCCCTTTAGCAGATTACTGTGAGTTGAAATTTGCATGAATTTTCACCACAGCATTTTTCATAGTTTATGCATAGCATCAGAGCGAAAAATTCGCAATTGTTGAGCTACGTTATTGGTGTGTGTCTATTCCTGCAGGCCTTCAAAAAGTAAACCAACCACAGTAGTGGTGAGCAGTGTGTTTCATAAAAATCTACCTGTGTCTAATGGCAAGGCGAAGACGTTAAAGGTAAGTAGCTTTTTTTTTGCTGTAAACTCAAATAATGCAATAGTTGTGTTAACCTTTAGATCTATATTTCTGAGTGAACTTCGAAAGACCCTTTACATCCCGAATTATGTTAACTTCGAAGTAGTTTCAAGAACTACCCTTTTCTCGTTGCATATTTTGCATTGGCATAATGCAGTCCCAGGTCTGACACTCATGAGCGAACAGGCTGCATGTTAGGACTGCAAGCACGCTTTCTTGAACTCCAGTGTCGCCATAGGTTTATCCGAGCCAGCAAAGTGACATTGAGTGCCAATATCGGAAATCGGGCACAGATTTACGGAAAGCGAGAAGCGTAGAAGAAAGAAGCAAAAGGAAAATTCCAGTGCCGAGAGCTAGACACAGGACGCTCAAAGTAACAAATATACAAAAACACTAGAAAGGAGATTACAAGAGAGAAAAGAATATCAAATTTCAGAATCACATGAAAACAGAATATAGTGAATAAACACAGAGGAAACTCGGCTGAACCAGTGCTCCACAGTTTGTACAGCTTTCGCTTGTAATGTAACGTAGTTCTTTTTTTTATAATAAAAGGTTGCATTCTTCTGAGCCTTGGAAAACATGCCATCAAACTAGCTTCAATTTATTAAGACTTCCCGAATGAAGTGACGTCATTTTTGTTTCTAAAGAGTACCACGCCAAGTGGAAACAAACGTTAGCTACGAAGAATATTCGTTTGGTATACATGAAAAAAATTTTGCAAAGTACAAAAGAAAGCTTGCTTTTCTGCCTGGCAGCTTGTGGCTTTTACTTGTCATGTTGCAAGGGAAAATAGCATTGTGCTGCCACATCTGTGCATGGTATAAGAATGCTACATATGACCGGCTTTACAGTATAAAGTTTATACAGTGTTTGTGCATTAAACTGACCTGATAATTTACAATGCTGGCCGTTTTATACAAATACAGAGGAAACCTACATTAAGTCAGTGGAAGTATTTTATTTTTTTTTTCAGGTACAGAGAAAGTGTCTTTATTGGACCATTAACAAGTCATAAGGCTCACTCCTCTGTGAAGATAACTTCCAACTAAAAGACCCTAGTTACCAAGCTCCTTATTACTTCAGATCTAGTATATAAAGGAAGGCCAAAGGGGGGGGGGGGGGGGTTAAATACAGCTTTCCTTCTTGTCTATGGTTTTCTTTTAATCGTTTTTCTGACAACCAGCAGGGGTTTTCGTTTTTGTTTAAAGTCTGTTGCATTCATGAGGAACTAGTGTAGACATCATTGAACTTCAGTCCTGACACACTGGCTGGCTATCTGTATCCACAACTTCAAGCAGAAGTTTCTGTGCAACATTTCATGGTGCCTTGCCAGCACGGTGGTCTGGTGGTTGTTGTGATGCGAAGTTTTTGACCCGAACATTGCAGGATCAAATCATGGTTGCAGAAGTCACATTTGGATGAAATTGAAATGATGGAGGTTCATGTACATTCATTTCATTAAGTGCATGTTAAAAAAACCCCAGGTGGTCTAGCTTTCCTTCTAATATTGTCAAGATACCCAGAAATTGTATTAAATTACAGTACTCTCAGTAAACAGAACTCGAAGGTACCGGTAAAACATGTTTTTAACAGGAGTTCCGTTTATGAAAGATGAACATGGGTGTTTAACACAAGCCAGAAACCAAATGTGGCACAGGCAATTGTTTCGTTTAAGCAGTAGATTTCCATTTACCAAGAGTCTGCTGTAATTATACGGTACTTTCATAAACAAACGAGGACGCCTCAAACAGGCAGGGCTGCGCAGCGTCTTGCGCAACAGCTAGAAATCTTCAGTTGCTTGTCGTTCACAGTACTTTCTCAACAGTTTTTTTAAAATCGTAGCTGTGTGCCTTGCGTCTCGTGTCGCATTCAGACTGTTTGACAACCACCATTCAAGGAAATTGCGGTATGAAATTTGACAGTTGCCTTTGTGGCATCATGGTGGATTCTTCATATGTCATAAGGTTTTGTATGACCTTACACACGTCAAAGACGCAAGTTAATGCACTAGTGCATTAACTTGGTTACTAGCGTATAGTTCTTTGATTGTTGCAAAAATTGAAACAGCTAGACACTCGGAAGACATGACTAGCATTTCATCCCTCTTTTTCACATTTTCAAAGACATTTTCAAAGTCCCAAACTAGCTATCACAACTTGAATCACGCTTGTCTACTGCGGTCGAATGCGTGGCTGTTGATGCTAGTGCCATCTGCAGCTGCCACCCTGTGTTAGCTGCAAGATTCTGTTCATGCTTGCATAATAGCACGAGGACCCAGTACGACCATGTTTGATACGATTACAGCATTGGGGCCTGCATACGTTCGCAAAATGCGGCGGCCAAACGGCGCTGTAGACAAGTGTGATTCAGACTGTACGTAGCGGCAGTGCTGCATAGCGCATGCGTTTGGCTATTGTTACTGCTTTGTTTAGTAATGGGAGCTAATATAGTGTATAACAAAAAAAAACGAGACTAAACTTCCACTTTTTCATTTTATGGTATTCGGAAAACAGGTAGTTCTGAAGAACTGCGGGGAGCTGGAAAAAAATTCTGAGGGAAACAGGAATGGTCTCCCCCTTCAGGACAGAGCTTCACGGGCCACTGTTCTGCCAGGTGCTCTCCTGCATTCTCTATCCTCTCAGTGGCTTTCGAGACATGAGGTGTATCGGATTTTGCCTTACAGTATTTCCAAAAAGTCTAAAATATCTATTCAGTGGGTGCACTCATTCGTATTAGTTACTTTACTGCAGTGCGTGTGTGTGTGTATCTAAGTTTGACTCGGCAGGTGACATAGTTTGTTTCAAATGACCCACTGATGATGGGAATTGCAAAATGGTATATGCTGTCATCTTTTGCACTAACTTCTAGCCTCTAGCACCATGTGTCAGTAAAGCTAGATCAGAGCACTATTTTAATATGCATTGAATAGCACCTGCATGCATCAGTAAAAACAAATTTTCAGTAAAACTTGCAAATTCGTTCATTGGCAGTCGCATTTCTCATCTTTTTTTGTGTGTATATATGTCTTTTGTTTTGTGGTGAGTACTTCCGTTGATTTTGTACGTAGATTACATTTTTGTATTGATTTGTGTGCTACGTATATATACGGCCTGGTTACCGTGCTGTTACGGGAGCGTAAGCCTTTGTCAGGTCACACGACCTTTAGCGTCTGCTTCCTTTCTGTTGTAAACAGGAGAAATAAAACTCAGTTCAATTCAATTTATGCAGCTTTTGTAGCGATGAGCAAAAAAAAAAGAATGTGACACTGTGTGTTACTACGTTATTGGCCTACTGTAAAATTCAGTGCAAGTTTGCCTTGCCCTTTTCTTGAGATTTGAAATAGACGCCGATAGCCGAGCAAGTGCTGACCTCCCCTCCCGCCTTTCTTTCTCTGTTTCTTTCTCTCTTTTTATTTTTTCTAAGATTGTGTTTTGCTACAAAATCCTGCAGCAGCAGCTCCTAGAAAACCAAGCTCTCAGTCTTTATATATGTGCATATCGAGGAAAAAATTACTGCCATGGAAAATGAAATTGGTCAGCTAAAGCAATGTAAGGAAAAACTAGCAGAGTACGAAAAAAACTGCCTAGGAATGACTCAGCAAATACTAGAACTGACAGCTAAGGTTGACGATCTGGAAAACAAAAGTCGTCGTAACAATCTCGTAATATTTGGGGTGACTGAAGAGCCTGATGAAGATTCAAAATCACTGAAAGAAAAGGTTCAACGAACTATTTTTACTAATATACTTGGTACTGTCGTAAAATCTGTTGAAAGCATCCACAGAGTAGGCAATCCTCGTAGCAAACGCCCACGATCAATTGTTCTACGACTTTTCAATTTCTCTGAGAAGTCTAAAATTCTCTCTTGCTGTACCAAATTAAAAGGCACAAAAATATCGATTTTGGAGGATTGTTCGAAAATAGTGAGAGATATGCGCAGTTGTGGCACTCTGCCGCAGACGAGAAAGCACATGGACGCGAAGGTGTCCCTCGTGTTTGACGAGCTAAAAGTCGATGGCAAAATGTTTGTCTGGGACCCTGTGCAGAACACCAGACTAGAAGCTGCTGCAGGGTACTCTTGACCAAAAGTAGCTACAAGGGCAAGACCTGACGTTCAGAAGGCGGATTGACAGGAGAAGACCAAAAACTTGAGAATCTTGTCCCAAGAAGTCCACTGCATTTGCTCGTCAAAGGTGGATGCACACGAACCTGTATCAGTGGGCCCGCTCTCTGGACAAGAGACGTGAGCCAAACTGCTGGTGACCCATCTTCGAAGAACATTATGACATTCACGAACAGGACGACTTTGCTAATTGCTGAGGCAGTCAGCTGCAATGCTTCAGTTGTCTAGGCGGGGCAGGCTTCTCAAGTTGTATCTGTCTATAGTGTTTATCAGGGACAGCTTACTGTAGTTGCGTTTGAGTGTTCTATTGCGGGAATGGGAAATGACTCCACTTAAAGCCTTGCTGTTTTGTTCTTCTCATTTACAATTACTTTTATACTGCGCTAGACAGTACCATACACTTTCTTTTGATATTGTTGTGCTGTGGCAACACATGCTTGCGAGGAAAACCCACTAATTGAACATGCAGTGTGTACAGGCCATGGCATCAGTGTCCCTTCGTGTTCTCATGAAAACGAGGTCACTGTATCAAGCTTTATGCTTTATAGGCTGTCCCCTTTCCATTCTTCCAGGCACTTTACGAGGGCGCAGCAGTTCAACGGACTCCTCTGAAAGTGGAAAACAAAATGAGAATTTTTCGTTTCAGTTTGAAGGCTTGCCAAAGTATATTCGAAAGGCTCTCAAGGCCCAAAGGCCACTTCCCTCTGCTGAAAGAAGGGCTCTGGTACGATGCGTAGTCGAGCAGCTGACAGAAGTGTACCCCTATCCAAGCCGAGACTTGATTCGAGAGGTAGCCATAACGATTGTAGACGCCTTTCCCGAGGCCCTCAAGGACCGTGATCTGGATGGTGAAATGCTTGGAAAAGGACACAACTCCTTTTTTCAGCAACTAAAATGCCGTGCCGATACCATCGCTCTGGGAAGACTCTCACCAGGTGAGCACAGGCGTTGGAATCCAGTAAAAGAATAAATGACTGCCTGTCGTGTAATGTCGTAGGTAAAATACAGCTGCTTCCTTCGCAAGAATACCTTACATTTATTTTCATTTCTTAGACGGCACTGCTATTTCAGCATACCCGTTTCATAAAGTAAACATGGCGTCCATGGTGTAGTGGGTCAGTGCAGTGTCGCAAACACACTGTGCAGTTCCCCAAGAAAAGTTTACCTCTAATGTGGCCGTAAAATGTGCTCTGAATCATTGAAACAGCTCTCCCATTTACATTTGTGTGCGTGTCATATCCTGAATGTGTTGATAATGCGAATGAGCTAAACTACTTGCAGAGCAAGATAAATGTCTGGAAGCCCCGCCTCCATAGCTTTCGCTCCAATGTCAAGCTAAGTTGTCGCCAAGCATAGATGTCATGTAGTGTGACTAAGATGAGATGGCCTTAATGCCCTTTTTCCCGTTTCATTAGCTTGTTACAGTAAAAGCTTGTTAATTCAACCCCGGTTAATTTGGAAGCGTTTCCTGGTTATGACCAGCATACGCATTGTTTTGTGACAATAAATATTGTTTATTTCACTTGTTAAACTTTTGAATCATTAATGTTTATCCAATCAGTCAACTTCTTGTTACCTCTGTAGTCTTTGGCCACAACTCAGTTATCTTGAATGATCTTTTAAACGCACTGAGCACTGCAATTGTGCACCACAAAAAAGTGTAAACAGCTTTCGCAGCAACCGCTGTCAACAGCTGTCTACATCACTGTTTTCATCAATTAGTGACATCACTGTTTTCATCAATTAGTGACCATGATTTCATCCAGATCCACCGCTCGGTGGCTTCATTTTAGCTAAATGCAATGCACACGCAAAGTTACAAAATTTAGGCATGGGAGAAGCTGTTAAAGATGAGCTTTCAGCCACAGTTGGCATGCTGACATAATTCGTTATTAATTGGTTCATTGCTATGTAGGATAATGCTTAAAGAAAGAATGGAAAAGTATTGTCACTTGAAAAAAATATTCCACGTATTCCTGAAGCATTGCAGCACATAACAAGCAAGATAATTAGTCAAAAAAGGCACGCATTTTAAACATACTGGCAATGACGTAAATGTACAGCAAAAACCCTCAAAGGGTTAACATGCTACTCAAAATTACACCCATGTAAATACATTAACATTCATTGAAGGAAAATAAGGTAGCCCAGAATTTGCAAGCTTTATTGACTGTCACATGCTTTTGCTACCTAGTATAAAGTGATGATTATGTAAGTGACATAATTATAAAGTGTGGACATATAAAGTATAAAGGGATGAATGGAGCTGATGTGATATTGATATATATGACTTCTCCTAATTGAGGACTTGCGAATTTTATTTGTCCTGTGAGCAAAAGTAGTTGCGTTTAGGCTCTCTATTGTTCACAACATGAAATCAAGGTCTCCATATCTAGCTTTGTACTTTACAGGCTGCTTTCTACTCTTCTTTCAGACACTTCACCGGGATTCAGTGGATCAATGCATTTGCATGAAAGTGAAGGACAATATGGGAATGTTTCGTTTTACCTTGAATACCTGCCCGAGCATATTAGAAGCTCTCTTAAGGTCGAGAGGCCACTTCCACATAGAGAAAGAAGAGCTTTGGTACGGTGTGTCGTTGAGAAACTGACCACAATGTGCGCCAGGCCCAGGCGGGACTTGCTTCGAGGGGCAGCCACAACAGTGGTGCGGGCCTTTCCCGACGCCCTTGAAGACCGCGGTTTGGACGGCAGTGTGCTTGGAAGGGGATACGACTCTTTTTTCCACCAACTGGAATGCCGGGCTGAAAACATCCGTAGAAGAGAAAGAGGTGCCGCCGCTCCAGTTGCGCAGAGAGGCAGTAGAAAAACAGTGAAGAATACATTTGGCTGTGTTAACTGGCAGCCTGTGCGGAACTCGGAGCCACCGGAGGACATTGAAGACAGGATTCAATTTCTAAAGCAAGAGGGGAAGAAAAGCCTGGAAGAGATCGACATGCCACTTTGTGTTGACTACATGGAGGAAACATATCCGGAACTGAGGAGTTTCATAAACGCCGATCCTGCTCCCGGAATTTCTGAGGTGAAGGATCAATGGCCAATGCTTTTTCACAGGCCATTCTTCTACAGGCACGGGAACGAGCTCCTTGCCAAGAATGTAAAGGTGCACTTAGCTTGTTTACTTGTAATCTTTCTGTCAAGTCCGAATTTCGTGCTCCTCAACTTCCCTTGCCTGCTCAAGTCCACTGCAAAGCAAGAGTCTCTTCTTGGTTTTTCTCCAACTTACTCTGCCATGTCTTGTGTTTTCGACTTGTTAAGGTTGCCTCACAAGATGTTTTCCTTTTTGCTGGCTCTCTTGGACTATGCTTGTGTACTTCCTGTACTTGCAGTAATAGTAAGCTTCAATCTGCCTGTCTTACTAACAGGTCTCCATGACTCATCCCAGTATGGGACACCAAAGTTTTCTACCGCACACACGTTTTACAGCGAAAGCTGTTATGAGATTAAAACACGGGTCACACCTTGCGCCGTAGGTTGTTCGCCGCCGCCGGTGTTCGTAACTAGTATCGAAAGAAAAAAAAAACTGTGAATACAAAACAGCAATGACACAATGAAATTCGAACCCGGGTCCGCTACAATGCCAGCCCCGTATTCTACCACTGAGCCAGGACAGTGCTTGGAACTCGTTTCTAAACTTGCCTTTGGCAGGCCTGATATCGGAAAAGCAACCGCGTTAATATGAGTAATAAAGCGTTTTAGAACATAAAGGGAACAGCCAGGCATCGCACAATGTGAATTGCCTAACAAGTGGGTCGAATGCTCCAACCCATTAGAAACCTTGTTCTTTATAACCTATTAACTATTGCGCATACCCACTGCAGGCATATTTCTTCATCGATGTCAGCCACTGCATAAAAAATGCACAAAACCTCTAACAAGTGTGTACCAGATACCACTCCTCTCGAAAGAATGATGAAGCATAGCATAGTGAATGCTGGCCTACTACACAAAAATTATGATTATTTATGGCGTAGTGGGTACCCAGCAGTGTGCTTGTAGCTGTTACCGAGAGAGTGTTAAGAAAAGCCTCTGAAAAGCTTCTCTTCTAGCTTTCGCTGTAGCTTTAAGCTGCTCAAAAAATGGTCGTTGCATCTAATGCAGGCACAAAAACACTCCTAATTTCACCTCTACATGTGCAAAGTTTATGCAGTGAATAGTAAATGAGAAGTTTCGTTACAAGGTAAACCGACCCCTAAAGGCTTTTTCAGGACCCCTGCAACACCTTTTTAGCATTGTCAGAAAACACTTCCGATTGATAGTAGAAGCTTCTCAGGACATTAGAGCCGAAAATTACAGCGCTGCATGCAACCTGAACTTCCAATTAATTGTCAAAGTCAGCTACAAATTTACTCCCTCTTCTCTCAGCAAGTGATGCCATAAGCCTAAATGATTGTGCTATGAACTCAGCATTTGTGGCCATTGGCTGACTTGAACATCAATAGCTGCATAGTTTCCAGTCTTGTTGCAGGAGAGTGCAACGATGCCCGCATGCTCGCTTGCAACGACACTGAAAGTAAGCCACATGCTTGAAGAAAAGAAAGTTCTCAAGGTCATTACGCGTGCTGACGAATTATCGTAGCTTCTTGGCCCCTTGTTATACGCCCCTCTTGTGTAGCTTTCAGCGTGCTTGCTTGCACAAAAGGATAAAAAAAGGCATTTAAAGCATGTGTGAGGAAATTTATAAACCCCGCACCTCCACCAAATGTGAGGAGGTTTATAAGCCGTTAAAGACAGCGACGAGACAGCGTCAAGAACCGTCCAGCGATCGACACAGCAACGAACCGAAGCACGAGCCGAGAGAGCCAGGCGTTGGCGATGCTGCTCGCTGCAGGCACATCTTCTTCTTCACACATGCAACAAGTCCCTGTAACTGTGCTCATACTTGACGGTTTCAAAAAGTTTTTCAGGCAGTCGATTCAGGAAGCGTTTGGAGAAATGCGCTGCAGGATTTGTTTGAAGTAAAATATCCACAGACGACTTCAGATCATGCTCGTCAAGTACTATTACGAGTTGAACTGACAGGTATGCTGGCTACGAACAGCACAAAGCCAGATCGAATGACAACTCAGCAAAGTCAAGTGTTTTGCATTTCCCGAACAAAAGTGAAGTAGGTGCTTTGAAATGTAAGCGTTAGAAATCTCGACATCCCTCCACTCTTTGAATACCTACGAGCAGTACATTCTTTAGTAAACCAGATATTGAACCTTTCCTTATTTGTGGCTGCCACTTATATCGTGTTCAATTTTATATCATGTTCAGTTTGTTAAATCTTTGCCTCTTCATTGTGGATTTTCCCAGATTCTCAGTTTCATTTTATCTTGTACGCGTTCTATGCTTAATGCATGCTAAAGCTACTCGAGGATACTGTGACTTGCCTGCATACAATCATTAATCAGTGCACATGATGTTTCAGGCAATATTTGATCAAAAAGTGTCAACATATGCACCACCACTAATCCAGTACTTGGAGTCAGTCCCCAAGAAAGAAGTCATGTACAGGTTGATGATCATGCGTGAGGCAGCAAAAAAAGGCAACACGAAAGCAGCGGAGGAAGCTGTGGTGCCCCTTCTGTGCACATATTTCAAAGAAGATGAAAGGCATCTATTCCAGGTCCTGGAAGTGAGTTGCATTTCATGTTGTGGTTTTAGGTGTTGTCATTAATACCAAAAAGCATGTAGTGCATGCCTTTTATAATTGTTCTGGCTCTTGCTAAGAAAAATTGCTGAAAGTTCTAAGACGCACAAAGCTGAGTCACAGCAGAGCTGCTGAGAACCTAGGTGGTCTTGGCTTGGCTGTTGGCTTTCACCTTTTCACTTATCATTCTCACACACTTTATTATACTGCACTCAAACATTGTTAGAACAAAGCCGCACCCTTCTAGAAAATAAGTTTGTTATGACCGATATTTCGTTACACCTGTATTTATTACATTGAGATTTGAATGAATACTATCCTATATATGGCTATGCGGGCTGTCTCGTATAGCACGTATGCGCTATGTAAATTGGGCACATTCATTCACTCACTACACTGATGCTCAAAAAAAAAAAAGTTCTGGAAACACTTGAGCGCCAAACACCAATTATCGGCAACACGTTTCAGCTTCTCTTGTTAACTACTAAGTGCGGGTTTGGTAACTGGGGGCACACTGTTTCATAATGCTCGTTTTCTACTATGACTTAATGCAAACTCTGACCATAACAGCTCTGTTGTAAAAGGTTTAAACAAAGCATTGTCATTGCAGTGGGCACAGTGCTTGGCTACTTACCCAAAGGTCGTGGGTCCCACCTTGGTCATGAAGGTTACAGTGAAACGGAGGAAATTTATATATTTTTACCTCAAGTCGACCTCTAGCATGCGTTCTTGCGACATTGCAATCTGATGATACGAGATCATTTCGATAAGCTGTTATTCTTTTGCTTTCCAGTATTTTTGAAGGGGCTCACTAAGTAGCTCGCATAGAAAATATAAATTTTTAAATCCTTCAAAAATACTCGTTTCTCAAGAATCAGTTGCAGGCCCAAAATCAGCATGCAAAATTACACTGTTAGTACAGTTTCGATCTCAAAAACTTGAAGCATGTTTTAGCTATGCTGTCAAAAGCGGAGAGGGTTAGTGTAACTGGGCCCCGGTCTTATCGCCTTCTCAGTTACTAGCCCAGCATTGCTTTTCGACGAACACAACTGTGCCACGAGAAAATGAAGTCCTGTGTACATAAAGCTGGCAGTGTCAAGCTGACCTTAACTTGCGTACTGCAGGTACAGTTGCAAAGTGCCTGCTACTCCATAGATGTTTCATTTACAAATTGGCAAAGTATGCCTTCGTCAAGCAGTTTTCCCACCCGCAATATCGCTTTGTGATTAATTATATCTTGGTGTTTTGCAATAGATGGGACTTCAAACCAACTGCTGTTGTTTCTGATGCCTGGTGAGATTGAGTGCATCTCCCACGCAAAATACAAGCATTAAGGACACTCACACTGCATGACATTCCTGGGCTTACGTGTCAAAACTGTTTTAGGTACAGGCATGGCTCCAGTTATGAAAAACCTACTTGCTTGGCAGAAGTCCTGGGTCCGATTCCCACTCGTGCCGAAAATTTCTACCATTTCTTTATTTGCATCTATCAAATGTTCGCTCAAGGGCAATGCTGGCACTTGAATTTTATTGCATCGTATTTCTTGGCTGGCCTTGGGCTTTCACCAGAACGATTCTGTTGTAATTACCGGGCGCACAAAGGTCACTGCAATCATTGCACAGTCTCCGTTTGTGAAAAAAGCACAGTTTTCATACGAAGCAAAGTAACAACTGAGACGCTTCTTTGCATTCATCTGTACCTGTGAGTACGTTTTGTGCGTCATTTATGCGTGAGAAACGTGGGGCAAGTTTCTATCTGCTTGCCATTCTGTGTGTGACCTTCCGATTTGTTGCTATCGAATTCATTGCTTCACCTTTGTGGCAAAGCTGTGACTTTTTTAGGAAAAGAGCTCTTTAGTGCTCTCACATTAGAACACCTGTAAATAAAAATTAAAGTTCAAATGTAATGTTTGCGGTATTCAAATGCTTCTTTAGAGAAATGGTTAAGTATTGATGACCCAAATTCTTTTTCTTTTTTTCTAATCTTCTAGGAAGGAAAGGACATTGCGGAAATGCTCCATGAGCTGCCATGCACCCCAACTATTGTTGCACTTGGTATGCTTCCTCAGAGCTTTCATTTGCATTGTTATTTACTCCTGAATGATTACGTAGACCAGCTATCATCATCTTGGGCTTCAAGGCACGTCATGTGCTAGGCTTTTGAAGTGGGGTGACGGGGAAACGACTGCGACTGGTAGTAAAAGATATCATATACTTTCGTTCCATCTCACTAACCCCACTTTTATATCTCTGAAGAGGCTCAACAAACTAACTGCAGTAAGTAATAGCTGAGGTTCATACGAGTTTAGTGTAATGACAACAGTAGCTGTTAGTGTTGCCATTGTTGGTCAAGTGAAGGAAAAATTGGGATAAAATTTATGTTCTTATGGACTGTTTCAATGAGTACCTTTCAGTGTTTAAATAGTTTTTCTTCTCAGCGACTGAATCGTGCAGGTTAGGACCCTGCCTTAGGCAAGTTATCTTTCCTTCCGCTTTTCTTTCTTCACATCCACATTACAAATATTTCTAATAACATTCCCTATACTTTCCTTGGTATCATTATCTGTTGGCTCTCATGAATATTGAATCAAGTGTGTTCTTTAACATCCATTCCCCTAGCAGGCTTTAGAGAAGCCAAGTAGTGCCATCGAGTGCAGCGAATGTATTGGCACCCTTTTTCCTCAAATATTTTAGCCATCACCTTGCAGTGATTGTGAATAAGGAAGTATTTTCGACAGGTTGTTCTGTTTGCAATCTTGTCGCAGGAGGCATTTTCCAAAAGAAATGTTTTGTGGCCTGCGAACGCGAGATTCTTTTTACCGAACCTGTAGACTTCTCGGAGGCAACCTGCCTTTTGCTTCTGAGCTACTACGTTTTCAACTTGGCATATGCAGACCCTGTTGCCACAACGCTGGAATTTCTTCAAAGGTGAGAAATGTGCTGTCTATAAGACAATCTGTGCATTCTACGCCAAACATTCCAGCCATAATAGCGACCATGGCAAATGTACTTTAAACAAATTGTGTCAAATCCTTTAATTGAAGACAGTGACATATTTGAATGTCCTGGATAGAAAAAATTTTGTGGTCATGTGGGAACCTTCCAGGTTTTGCGTGTGTCATCTGTCCATTGTTTGTTGGAAAATTGTTCTGATAGTGTTGTTTCTGATTTCAGTAACAAAGTTGGTTAACGTATTAAGCAAATATATTTGTGGGTGAAGCTAAGGAATGCTACTAATATAATTTATTTAGCATATATGCTTCCTAAACTTTGACGGTAATAGTCCATGTTTGCAGTTTTTACCATTGTACCCACTTTCAATATTTGCTTTGGCTGACTTTTTTGCATAACCACATGAATAGAACATCAATTTGCATTATGTAGTTGTGCCATTTCAGCATATTGATGCATCCCAACTGGATATCAGTCAAGTGGATGTTGTCGTTTTTCAGCTGGTCAAAAGAAAAATAAAGTGGTGATATTTTTTGTCCCTTTTAATTTTTAGCACTAGAAAAGTTTTTCAGTAAATACTGAACAAGTAAATAAATTATCCCACTCATGCATTCCGAAAAACACTTCTGCAAGATTTCACTTTTATACAATAACGTGCCTGGAAAAAAAGTAACTTGTGCAAACTCAGAAACTAGCAACGATTTCATTTTGAATGTAAGGCAGGTAAATGAGTTTTCTACGAGATTGTTAGGACTTAGGAGCAGAGCAATGGGACTTGTACGCAGAAGAAATTCTTTGGGAAGGGCGTTTGTCATATATGCTCCTGCGTTCGGATAACAAACCAAGGTTTGGCACTTTATCACTTTTTATCACAGGACGAATGCAGCATACGCTTCACAAGGATGGACATAGGGAACATGAGGCAGAGCCCTTATTTCTTGATTTATTTCCTTAAATGATGTATACCTTGACGCATTTTTGTGTTGCTTAGTCAAACTTTATGTGACTGTTCAAGTGGATCAAGCAAAATATACAGTGGAGCTGCTCGATAATTGCCTCTGCATAAATTGCAAGTTATGAGTACTCCTTAGTTCCTCAAAAATTAACGCATCCTTGAGACACTCTCAAAGCGGGAAGGGACCTGATTGTGGCTTTACAGTTTTACTGGGGAATTCACGAAGTAGGCGTCCAGCTAACCCAATTGCAATTCCCTTCTAGGGAGATGTTCACTGTCAACCCGCTTAGAGGCAGCAAATGCAGCAACGGACGAAAGTCAAGGACGTCCGTGAGCAATAAGATAATGAGACTGATGCAACACTTGCGATGAAGGACTGCAGTTGTAAGTTGATATTCATCGGTGTTACTTGCTGATCTGCGGTGGCATCTTGCTTGTACATGTAGAGCTTGAAATCAATAAAGGTGTACCGAACACGCTCGTTAGAAACAAATATGAAATGCTCAACCTGTGAGAAGATCCATTGTCACAAATTTTCATTGAAAGAATGCTAAAGCTCTTGTTTGTACGCAGCTAGGGGCCATGTCTGACTACAGTAAAAAAAAGTTTCAGGCAAAGCGATGGTGTTTAGAACAATTCAACGGCAGCTTCGAAAAACGCACACTCACATTGGGTGACAGATTACATTTCATTTTCATTATCATAGTTTGGCCTGCACCTATGTAAACGCTAAAGAGAATTATGATGTTTAGGTTGGGGGGGTCTCTCGCACACTCCTGAAAGTAATGGTTGTAGTACACAATCTAGTGTAACGAACACGTGAACATCTTTTATGCAGAGGCGGGCCCACTAGTCGAATCGTACGAATAGCTAGAGTAATGCGGCAAAGCACATTTGAATGCCAATATAATGTACACACATAACATAACATTCATATCTTCAAGGTAAAACTGGCATTCACAAAATGACAAGCAGAGACGCACTATGACGAATGCAAGCGAGCACATACCTCTTTCTTTATTTCGTGCATACCACTTTTACTCTGTATATGAACCAGCTCGTCCAGTTGCAAATTTGGTTGACACACACTCAGAAAAAAAGATAGTCTCGCATTTTAGATGGACTTTGTCTCTCTTCAGTGCCCCTTGTATGGCATTCACACAAAAATTGTCATTACGATCTCTTCATGTGAGTGCTGCTTTTGTTCACTTGTTTAGGCATTTGAGGAATACATGTTTCTTCCATTTCTAAAAATTTCGTTGTGCTGTCAATATAATAAAACCTCTTTCCATGTGTCTCTTTTGTTAATGAAAATTAGATGTGATATGTAATTTTGGAAAAGATTGCTTTTGTTATTGGTTCAGACCTACCAATTCCAACCGTTTCCTCTTTTTTTTTTCCAGGTGAGCCCGAGTGTGATCAATCAAGTAAAAATAAATGCCCAACTGTTCATTTTCAGAGTGGCAGGATGTTGACTACTTGTCTGGAAAGAATTGATGCTTCCTTCCGCATTTAGGAAGCTCCTCACGCTTTTAGGAAGCACAGTGGATCCTACAAAACTCACTGAGATATATTAGGTTGTCTTATTAAGGTGAAAGCCCTACATGCCTATGTAGCATTCATGTAAGATGTATACAACCCTGTACATTGCCCCCGTCTAAACGTACAGACATTATACAAGGAAGTGTCCGTTTTTTGATACCCAGTTTACATGTTATAACTGAACAGTACAATGTATGTATTCTTGGGATTGTAACACAATTTTCCGGCAATGAAGCCAACTTTATCGTTTCTAAGAGGTTCCTTTCACAAGCACTGCACTTTAATTCTGGAATACACACCTGTCTCTTCATAAAAAGCAGAACAAACTTATGTTCAGTTCGTTTCATATAATTTAACGTTTCGAAGTTACGTGGAACTATCTGGCAACATTTTTCATTCTAGTTTGTACCAACCTTAAGTGCTTAGTGCACATTTATGAAAAACGGTTGTTTTGGGCTTTTGTACGATAGAGGGAATATTTAAGTAGATTTTCTTTTTTAGCATGTACTGGTATTTCGATTGTAAAATAGCGCTTGACCTTTTGTTCAATGTAGTGATGTAGGTTTTTCATTAGGTGCCTCCATTTTACAGAAAGTGTTGTAGCTTGGTAATAGAAAAGTTCTCCGTAACGGTCTGTACGAGGTTCTTAAAAGGAACAGCGAACTAAAAACTTGGAAAAAACTGACAGAAAGTGCAGAGTTCTACTCGGATGATGCGACTGTTTTGTTAAACAAAGTTAATTTCCCATATGCTTGAAAAGTTGGCTGTGCTTTGGACGATTGAGAGTGCGCGGCGGCCACACATTAACGGAAGTCGTGACGTCAAAATGGCTGAGGCGCATATGCGCGTGTTCGTCCTCTTTCCTTTCTACACTTCCTTTCATGCCACTCTCCCTCTTCCACAAAATTACTGGTGCTATAACCAGCCAAGAGCATTGCTCGCCAACTGGTGCAGTCCATAGTCGCTAGTGGTTCGAAGAACTGTAGGGGGAGCCGAGCGGATTGGGAGATACACACGATAGCTGGCATTGTTGGCTTGCCCATTTCGGGCGTGTGTAACATCACCAAACGTCCCCTCTAGTTCACGGTGCCGCCACTATACACGGCACTTGCACAAGCAAAAACACAATAAAGTCATTATTTTCCTGCAGTTTCCACCTGATATAAACGTTGTCAATCAATTTTAGGAGCCAGACTTTGTTTTGTTGAAAATGCTGGTGGCAAAATTTTGTTCAGTATTCCTTTGACCTCCGAGCCAAAGGATGGCACACCGTGCCCCCACCCTCCCCCCTCTTTCTAAACTTTTTTTCTTTCGCATTGGTATACACTTAATCGACGTAGCGCGTTTTAAAACATAGAACAGGGGAAGAGACAGAAGGGAGCGCTTATGCGCTCCCTTTGTCCCTTCCTTTGTCCTATGTTTTAAAACGCGCTACGTCGATTAAGTATGTCTTACCAACATGCCCAACTTTATACTCTTGTTTGGTATACACCTTATCACTGAAGTCCCTAGATTTTCCCTGTTCTTTCTCAAGTTGTGACAAGTGCCATCGATGAATCTCATTGGCTAACGCTCGTTTTCGGCAGTTATGTTCGTCGTAACACTTTGCTGCCAGCACCTGGTGAAACGAGACTGGGCGTGAGGACATACCGTGGCGCCACCATGCGGAGGCGTCCCTGTGACGCCCCACGTGGTTGGATTGCTCCTCCGTCCACCCACGCGCAGTCGGCAGCTGCTTTCGCGTCTCCTCTTTGTATTATTATTATTTTCTTGTACTCCACTCAGCAAAATTAGTAAAATACTGCTGCAGCTTCTTGCCTGACTCCACGAAGCGCTAAATAACTGCCTTGGAAAAGATCTACGCTTCTCGTAATGCCTGACGGCCGGCGTCGTCTGCTATGGTCACCTGAATGGAAACCACGGGGGCCGAGCGCGCCGCCTCTGGAAAAGGTGGCAACTCATGCCGTGTCGAATGGAAGTATCAAATGAGTATCAACGGTAAAAAAACCTATCTTCGCTACAAAAAAATGCGTGCAGCCACGCTACTTGCTTGATATGTGGGGTTTAACGTCCCAAAACCACCGTATGATAATGAGAGACGCCGTAGTGGAGGGCTCCGCAAATTTCGACCACCTGGCGCGTGGTTCTTTAACGTGCACTCAAATCTGAGCACACGGGCCTACAACATTTCTGCCTCCGTGGGAAATGCCGCATCCGGGATTCGATCCCGCGACCTGCGGGTCAGCAGCCGAGTACCTTAGCCACTTAACCACCGTGGCGAGGCAACCACTCTGCTTCAATCGTTGTAGATTCGCGTCAACTATCCGGCTACCGCGATGATTTTGCCACGCTTGTTTCGTATTTACAATCTTTGCTTCAGTCGGTTTTCTTCCAAAGCCTGTCCTGAATGCTCAGCGCAAACTGCACCTTTGAGAAGTTTCGTAATCATTGCTGATCGTACTGTGAAGATTGCGCACGAGGCACCAATGCTCGAGATTATTCCAGAGCTTGTACGACAACCAGAGACAAGACTGGAACATTCGACGGCACGTGTATAAATGTCGATGCGCTTCGCCGCTTGTCAGTTGATCGACGTCCGTTCACCACTATCAGTGTCCGTGTGTTGCTGTAGTCTGTCCTTCAGTTTTCTGGCTATACAAGTTCCGTCGAATAAACAGTTTCACCACGCTACTTCATTCGTTGTAGATTTGCGTCTCAAGAGGGGGCCGCGGTCGACACGACAAGCATGCGCGAAATACATTTTTGTTTAGCGCCCATAGCCCAACGAAGCACAGCGCAAGTGGATTCCGTGCTTTGTGTGAAGCAACACAGCATTCTTACGTCCGCTTGCAGCCGCAAATTTTGTGTGATCATTGCGGGCAAATGTGAGAATCACGCAAGCGCGTGCCTTATTCAAAGTTGTAACTTTTCTCTGTGGCACGATCCTAATATTCATTACGTGAAATTCCTATGACGGTCACGCGTTGCACGTTCAATTGCCATCGAGCCACACACGGGTGAAAATTGTGAACGATTGGTTCAGGTCCAGCCGTGTCATTTTGTGCCCTTGAATGTGCGTGTTGCGGGGTCTTGCGTAACGTAATCTAAACAGCAATTTCATGTTTAAGCAAAATTGCCAATGTCCACTTTTTTTTTTACAGCTTCAGTCCATCATAAGCTGTGTTATATTTTCCGGCAGCTCTTAGAGCATGAATCGGTTCTCGAAGCTGACCACGTTTTTGCCTGTTATCAAAACATTGAGAGTAAGTGACAGTGGCTATGGGCCTTAGATCTACGGACGTAATCATAAGCAAGGGATTAAATCTCTGAGCTGAAGCCGCAGACGGCAGGGCATTGGCACATTTTTTTTTTTTTTGGACGGGGAACCCCTTCGAATAGAATTGGGCCCTGGCAGGCAGAGGTAGTACACCATTGTTCTGTGCGGATATACCATGAAAATTTAGGGTGGGGGGGTAGGGGGGGCTTGGTGTGCCAGGACGCCACTAGCGGATGGAAACCCATGTGGTCGGGTACAGACGCGGTGACGGAAAACTGGGAAACAGGATGGTAATGCAGACTGCGGTAAAGGTTACCTTGGCGATATACAGGCACTGCGCCGTGCTCCCGACCGGGCTGCAGAAATTAGGTGCCTTTCTTCTCTTCTAACCACCACCACCGATAGAAGTAAGCTTTAGCAAAGTCAGGAGCGGCACATGTATTATGTAAGAAAGAAGGTACTTTTTGTTGCGAACGCATCGACTGCGAGAATTCTCGCTAGCTCCCGCAACGTTGCAGATGATGTGTGAAACAGAGTATAACAACGGGGCACTGGCCAGAGAAGAAGGTCGCGTCCGCTGAATCATGCGTGGCTAATGTACTTAGACATGTCCGGGCTTTGTAAATCTTCCGAGTTATGAAGCAAATGGTGACAGACGCTGTTGAAAACTGTAAAAGTGAAGTGGCGATATCGTCATTGGGAGGATTAGTTCAGTATTTGGAATAAAGAAGAGGTCGACGTCAGGCTTCGCCATGGAAACGGCGGCTAGTTCCTTCTTCGACAGACGCCGGATGCGTGTGGGTACTGCGAGGTTGATTGATTGATTGATATGTGGGGTTTAATGTCCCAAAACCACCATATGATTATGAGAGACGCCGTAGTGGAGGGCTCCGGAAATTTCGGCCACCTGGGGTTCTTTAACGTGCGCTCAAATCTGAACACACGGGCATACACCATTTCCGCCTCCATCGGAAATCCAGCCGCCGCAGCCGGGATTCGAACTGGGTACTGCGAGAGGAAGCAGTTGTCGGTACTTGGCACTGCAGCACTTTTTGAGCATGGTCAGAAAACGCTGCCGATCGGTAGTGGAGGCTCCCGACAACCCGCGAGCCAAATATTATAGCACAGCACGCGGCCTCGAGTTCACAGTAAAATACCAAAGTCAGCTAAAACATTGCTTTCTATTTTCTCGACAAATCACGTTACATGCCCAAAAAATCACACCTCAACGACCCATATATCAGCCATTGGATGATTTGAACATGGCTCGTTCGCTCGTTACAGAGATCGCCGCGGGAGGCCGCTACTTGTCCACGCGCGCGATCACACTGACAAAGCTGCGCATTCGAAGAAAAAGACAAGCTAAAAGGTGCTCAAGGTTGCGAAGCGCGCGTGACGTTTTTCTGTGACCCTGCCATCCTTCCCTGCTTATCTTCCAGCGCTTTCGTCAGGACGAGAGGAGAGAATGGAATTGCAGCATGCGACAAACCTTGTAACTCCACTCGCACTGGACAATTCTTAACATTTTTGTGGCGTTCAATTAATGAGGCAATAAGCTCTTCCAGTGAATTCATTCCATGGTTGCTTGATAAAGTGTTTCAGGGCCCCTTTAAAAGAAAAAAACCTATGGACTTTACTTATCACATAAGGGGAAAAAACGCCGCCATGATGGGCTGGGCGTGAGAGTACAAAGACTGAAGTCATCTTCGGCAGAGCATTTCTGGGGCGGCACTCCGATTTGCTCAGCCCCCCCCCCCCCGAAAAAAAAAAGACAGGGAGCCGAAAACGGTATGACCGTTTCAAGTGTTTTCGGGGGGTGCTCCCCCCCCCCCCCCCGTGAAAAAAAGTTGCCTCTGCGGGGGGGGGGGGGGGGTAGAATTTTTTATTTTTTTGTAATGATAGCAGCACCTTGTAGCCTTCCTTTCCATTGTCGAACACTCATTTTCCGTAATCTGCCTATCAGAAACGTGGCTGTCGGCAGACGAAGGGCATCTGTATGCTTTGCCAGGCTATGAATCCGAATATTGTCACCGTGTCACAAATCGTGGTGGCTGATCTGCAGTCCTAATAACTTCATCAATACCACACAAACGCCGTCAGGATCTGTTTTTTGACAACATTAATTGTGAGTCTGTTTGGCTTGAAGTAGAATCTTCTGCTCTGCCATTGAACAATCGTCATACAGTCATTGCATCCATCTACCGTTCTCCTTCATCCTCGAAT